GAAATTGGTAATTTTCTTTGGAAAATTAAATCAGAAAACAACCGAAGAAGAAGAAACCAAGATCAATTCATTTTGTGTGTGTCAAGAAAATTTATTTGAAACAAAAAATTCCTGGAAACATTTTTTTGTTTGAAACCAGAATTTTAATTTGAATGGCGCCTGCTGTGTGTGTGTGTGTTAACTCTGTAAATTCTGATTTACTTACTTGCTAAATGGACAATATTATATCTCAATCAAATGAAATCTAGCTAGGCTAGGCTAGCTTTGAACAGAAACAAAAAAGTTTTTTTTGCTTTGTTTTGTTTTGTCATTTAAAGTTAAGTAATTTGTTGTTGTTGTTGTTTTTTCGGCTTTTCGCTTTTCTCCATCGAACAACAACAACAAAAAACGTAACAAATGTTTTTTTTCGCAGTAAATTTGACAAAAATTACTTTTTTTTACGAGCACAGTGAGAGCGAAGATTGAAAAAAATCTCCCCCCTCGATAAACAACTACTGGACTGGGATTCTGGACTGAGATTCTTGATTCTTCTGGATTCTTTTGGATTCTTACAGAATCTGTTTGTTTGTTTGTTAATCGTATTTGTGAATGATGATGATGATTATTATCGGTCATTTTAAAACAATAATGATACTTTCTCTCTCTAAAAATGGTTTCAAAAAAATCCAATTTTCAAATTGAAATAACCATCCATATTAACAACAACAGCAGAAAAGTTCATTGACTTGAAAATGAAAAATCATCATCATCAATCGAATCATTATCTAATCTAATCTAAACGCTATTTACACACACACATACACATCAGGAATCAATTTTGAAATNTCATTTTGTGTGTGTCAAGAAAATTTATTTGAAACAAAAAATTCCTGGAAACATTTTTTTGTTTGAAACCAGAATTTTAATTTGAATGGCGCCTGCTGTGTGTGTGTGTGTGTGTGTGTAAATTCTGATTTACTTACTTGCTAAATGGACAATATTATATCTCAATCAAATGAATCAGCTAGGCTAGCTAGCTTTGAACAGAAACAAAAAAGTTTTTTTTTGCTTTGTTTTTTTTGTCATTTAAAGTTAAGTAATTTGTTGTTGTTGTTGTTTTTCGGCTTTTCGCTTTTCTCCACCGAACAACAAAGCAAAAAAACGTAACAAATGTTTTTTTTTCTGGCAGTAAATTTGACAAAAATTACTTTTTTTTACGAGCACAGTGAGAGAAAATTGAAAAAAATCTCCCCTGACAAACAACTTCTGGACTGGGATTCTGGACTGAGATTCTTGATTCTTCTGGATTCTTACAGATTCTTTCAGATTCTGTTTGTTTGTTAATCGTATTTGTGAATGATGATGATGATGATGATTATCGGTCATTTTAAAACAATAATGATACTTTCTCTCTCTCTCTCTCTCTCTCTCTCTCTCTCTCTCTCTCTCTAAAAAATGGTTTTAAAAAAATTCAATTTTCAAATTGAAATAACCATCCATATTAACAACAGCAACAGCAGAAAAGTTCATTGACTTGAAAATGAAAAATCATCATCATCAATCGAATCATTATCTAATCTAATCTAAACGCTATTTACACACACATCAGGAATCAATTTTGAAATAGAGAGATTTTCATTATCACCATCATCATTGACAACAATGATAATTATTATATCACATGGTGGTGGTGACGTTGGTGGCAGTGGTGGTTTTTTTTTGGCTTTTGTTCTATCGAATTTGGTTATTGAGAATTATTATTATTCTCAACCAAAAAAAAAAAACTGAATATTATCATCGAAAATTGATAAATTGATGGTGGTTGAAGAATTTTTCTCTCTCTGTGTGTGTATGTGCTTGAGGGGAGAGAGTAGAGGGAAGAGGGGGTACTGCCAACAAAAATGATGATGCAGCAGCAGCAGCAGCAACATTATTATTGATTATGACATTATGCAAATAGTTTGATTAATTAACTTAGTGTTTAATCTCTCACTGTGTGTGTGTGTGTCTGTGTTTTTGTATTGTCTATTTCTTTCTCGGTAAATGTGCCCCAAAAAAAGTTTTTTTGGCTGGAATTTTTTTTTCGCCACTCAAAATCATTAATAATTCTTTCAGTTAGGGTGGAAGAGAGGAAGGTGATGGGAAAAAATGGGGGGGGAAAAGATGTGTGCAAAAAAAAACTTCTGATGAGGAATTTCCCGGGTATGATTACAATGATGATGACAAAACAAAAAAGCGACAACAGATAGAACACAGATGTTTTGATGAGTTTGTTGTGAAAGGATTGCATTGTTTTTTCAATGGTGATTCGGTTATTCTGAATTTTGAGAAATAAAAAAAAACTCTTGACCTTTATTTTGTTGTTGATTCCATCAATAATATCTTTTTTTCGGATTCTTTTCTCATTGATGATGATGATTTTCACTAATTATTATCGTTTTTGATTGTTAATGTTGTTAATGTTTGTTTGTTTGTCTATTTCAACAGTAATGGACAGTGAAAAATGTATGAATTTTTTTGTTTTTGTTTTTTTTTGGTTGAGTGATTTTTTTTTGTTGTTTTTTATCTTTTTCCGCATCCAATATAGTTGTTGTTGTTGTTGATGATGGAACCATTTCCAAGTTGTTGTTGTTGTTGTTGTTTTGAACAACAACAACAACAACAACAACCCCAAAACAATTAGACATTGTGTATATATAGAGATTTTACAGTTGAATGCTGGACATCATCATGGATGTTTGCAACAAAACAACTATGAAACAAACAAACAGAACAAGAATCAATTTCTGACTTTAAAAAAAAAGAATCCATCCATCCATTCATTCATTCATCCATCCATTTTTTTTTGGCTATTTAAACAGAAATGACTATGATGATGATTCGTTTGAAATTCATTCATTCATTCATTCATTCATTCATTTTCGGTCATTTCCCCAAATGTAATTCACGAAGGAAAAAACTTGCAAAAACAAAACAAAAAAAATTAAATGCACGTTTTTAATTGTTTTCACTTTTCATGTTTTTGTCAACATCCAAAAAAAAAAAAATTCCTTTTTGTTAACCATCCATCCATCCATCCATTTGGTTTTCATTTTCAAATCTACAGGACAACAAATGAAAACAAAAAAAAAACAACGGGTTCCACATTCAGCAACTAACGAAAAAACCCATAATAATAAAAAGATTTTTCGTTTCTGTTTTGTCGTTTGTTGTTTTGCATTACTTTATTTTCTTTTTTTTAGCATAAATGATGATGATAATATGATGATGATGATGATGATCAAGATGGATTTTCTCTTTGGATTCTCTTTCTCTGTGTGTCCAGTGATAATGATTATTATGATGATCATGATGATGATGATAATGATGATAATGGCCTTTATAGTCTAAATCAACATACATACATACAACTAAAAAACTACAGAATATTCTGTTCATACAGAATATTCTTTCTTCCCCTTCCAAAAAACAAAACAAACTTACTAAAGACATGGATTTTTTTTTCTCTTATATATCCATTATGAAATGTTTTCTTTTCCATCTTTTTCATCTTTATCTTTTTCCTTTTTCCTTTTTTTCTCGTTTTGTCCGATTTTCATATATCAACAACAACAAGGAAAAAACGCAAAATACAACCCAAAAAGACATTCAATTATTGTTGTTGTTGTTGTTGTTAAAAGATCTGATGACTGACCCATCATCATCATCAACAAACAACAACAAACATAGCAATCACTATAGTGATATGGTCAAACAAACAAAACAAAGAAGAAGAAGAATGTATCTTATTCGAATGTAAACAGAATCTTCTTCTTTATATAGATAGAATAGAAAGAAAATCTTAAGACAATCATCATTATGATGATGATGATGATGATCATAGTGGTGATGGTGATGGAAAAAAAGAAAACATTTCATGATCATATAATAACGTGTCCTGAATCTTTGATTATGATCATCATCATCTGTGGATGATGATGATAACTACTAGTTTTGCTCTAGTTTTTTTCGCTTTCTTTTTGAAAAATTTTTTCTTTTGAAACTTTCATTTTGATTCTTGAAATTGTCACTCTCTCCAGTGTGTAGAGAGGTCCCTCTTTGATATTGTTTTTTCATTTCATTTTTTTCATTTTTACAAACGAAAAAAAAATGTTTGGTTCGGTTTGTCACACGCACAATCGTCATCATCAACATTGATAATCTTTTTTTCCAGAAAATGAAATGAAATGAAAAATTTCTTCTTTGTTTTTCTTTGTTCTATATTTGACCTTTCCTTTCTCTCTCGTCTTCTTTTCTCAAGAATGAAATTACATCCTTTTCTTTCTGTTTGAATGATTCGCCAATCGAAGAAAAAAAATTTCAAAAGAAAAGAATTTGTTTGTCGCCTAACGTTTGAATAATTGATCAATTGTCATTAATATCTTCTCTGGTGATTGAATTGACTTGAAGAAAATCGAAAGAAATCGAGAAAAAAAGGAGAAAATTCTTTCCGAACGTTTGAAGCGATAGACTAAGAAAGTGAAATGATGGTTTCAATTTTCCATTTCAATAATTGATATTTGATCCAAAAAAAAGGTAATTGGATCCTGATTCGGTTAAATTATAATGAGCTCACCGAGAGAAGCAAAAAAAAACCTTGAAACAAGAATCGATAGTTTCCGGAAACTATTTTTTTCGGTTTTTCCTTTGTTGCTGCTCAAGTGTTATTTGATGATAAATTTTTAATGCAGAAAAAAAACATGCAAAAAAAACAAAATTCGAACGAAAAAAAAATCGATTATTTTGAAATTACAAACAACGAAAAAAAAACTAATCAGTTTTGACCAAAAAACTGGGTTAAAATATTAAACAAAAAAAAAACACTTTCCACAAATACCGTGTCATCACATGAAATAAAAAAACCAAAATCCAAAAACTAATGAGAAAAAGCATTACTTTCCTTTCCATTTCTTCGGTTTTTCGATTTTAATTTTTAATTTTTAATTTTTTTTTAATTTTTTCATTCAATTAACAAACATTAGGCTGGAAATGTATTTAATTTTTGTAATGAAGCTGTAAAATTAAATGGTTCAATACCATTACGACAACAAGCGGCAATTGTTTATGATGATAATCATACAGTATTAACAGCCGTTGCAGCAGGTATTACCGGGCAGCATACGGTTGCATTTTTGGGCACCAATTATGGATCAATCAAAAAGGTAAATATATGATTTTTAACCCTTACTTACTTACTTTTCTCGTATAAACTTGGCATTGTTTTTTGCTGTAATTTTTGTAATAGGGGTTTCACACTAGCAGCAATGTGAATGAAATATTTCAAATGCAATATTTCA